AAAAATTTTTTGTAATCTTCAGTGATGATATGCATTTGGCATTTGTTGAATACATATTCTAAGAATCACACTCTTAATATTTTTCATCCTCCCTTTTTTCTTTCTTTTCATCCTTTCCATGGACCCCTCTCCCCAACTTCAGTACCAGAAACCAGTCAGTCTAGTATTAGAATTTTGTTTGGAAGTTAAGATGGATCTGTATCAGTTAGGATGCTTTCAGCTGCAAATGAAACGAATAAATAATCACACCAACTGGCCTAAACCATAATGAATTTTATTGACTAACGTAAATTTCCTGAAGCTGGGAATTTGGCTAGCATCGATAAATCTCATGGCCCATGAGACAAGCAGCAGGTGTCTGAGCAAAGGATCTGTTAGGAAGTTGGAAGAGCAAACGGATATTGGGTGGGCAACCAACATTATCCATTATACCTGAAATTCTGATCTGACAAATCGATAACAAAAACAACATTTAAATAGTTGTATAGCACTTAAATTATATAATACTATTCTAAGTGCTTTGCATATATTTTCTCATAACAGCCTAAGGCCGACACTGTTTTTGTTCCTTTTTAAGTTCAGTTTATTTAATTTTAAAAAACAAACAGTTCACCCATTTCTTACACCTCTCACCTCACTGGCAACCACCAAACTGTTCTCTATTTATATGCACTTAGCTTTATATATAGTATATATTTTAGACTTGACATATAAGAGAGATCATACAGTATTTATCTTTTTTTGTCTGACTTACTTCACTACTTCACTTAGCATAATGTCTTCGAAGTCCATCCATGTTGTTGCAAATGGTGAGATTTCATTTTTTATGACTGAATGATATTCCATTTTATATGTGCGTGTGTGTATGTATATATATAAAACACCACAATTTCTTTATCCATTTACCCATCAGTGGACACTTAAGTTGTTTACATATCTTGGTTATTATAAATAATGCTGCAATGAACAAAATGTATTTATCTTTTTGGATTAGTGTTTGCATTTTCTTTGGATAAATACTCAGAAGTAGAATTGCTGGATCATATGTAATTCTACTCTTAATTTTTTTAGGATTCTCTATACTGTTTTCCATAGTGGTTGCACCAATTTACATTCCCACCAACAGTGAAGAAGGGTTCCCTTTTCTCTATGTCCTTTCCAAAACTTACCTCTAGTCTTTTTGATAATAGCCATTCTAACAGATATGAGATGATTTCTCATTGTGGTTTTGATTTGTATTTCCCTGATAATTAGTGATGTAGAACATCTTTTCATGTACCTGCTGACCATTTGTGTGTCTTTGGAAAAATGACTGTTCATATCTTCTGCCGTTTTTTATCAGATTATTTGTGTTTTGATATTGAATTATATGGATTCATTATATATAAATGTAAGATATTAGCCCCTTATCAAATATATGACTTGCAAATATTTCCTCCTGTTCAGTAGCCTTTTCATTTTGTTGATGGTTTCCTTTACTATGCAGATGTTTTTTAGTTTGATGTTGTCCCACTTGTTTATTTTTGCTTTTGTTACTTTTGCTTTTGGTGTCTATTGTTCTTATCCTACAAATGATGAAACTGAGAGAGCTTAAGTAATTGCATTGATATTGCACAAAGATGAATTACTAATAGATATCACAGTAATTTTATCAGCACAGTCCATTTATTTGGGGGTGATGAGATGTGAAACTCATAGTGAATTCTTGTTTGATTTTGTGACTTGCATATAAGATCCTGCTAAAAGTATTAAGATTATAATTTTTAAATAATTTAAATAATTTATTATGATTACATAGTATGACAATAGCAAAAAGGTGGAATCAACTTAAATTTTTATTGATAAGTGAATGGATGAACAAAATGTGGTATATCAGTAGAATGGAATATTATTAACCTTAAAAAAGAGTGAAGTTCTGATATATGCTACCATATGAGTAAACCTTGAAAACTACATGCTAAATGAAATAAGTCAGACACAAAAGACAAATATTATGTGATTTCACTTATATGAGGTGCCTAGATTAGTCAAATTTTTAGGGATGAAAAATAGAATCGTGGCTACCAGGGGGCTGGGAATAGAGGTAATGAGTTGTTATTGTTTAATATGTACAGAGTTTTAGTTTAGTATGATGAAAACTCTTTACATGGATTGCCTGATTTAATCTTCACAACAGCCCTATGATCTAGGTACTATTATTATCTCCATTCTATGAATAAGGAAATTGAGGCACAGAGTGGGTTAAGTAATTTGACCAAGACAATGTAGCTGGTAAACGTCAGAGCTAGGAATTAAACTGAGGCAGTTGACTTCAGGAGCTCTCTTGTATTCTTTAATTTTGTTACATCCCTTGAGGGAATTTGAGATGCTTTAGGGAGCTGAAAATGGGGGAAATTCCTGCCCTACCAATCATTAGTTTTCAATTTGTTCAGTTTCATGTCCAATACCTGAATAGGGAAAATGAATTCACAGAGTTGTTGATTATTTTATTTATTTTATTTTTTGCATTACAGAATCTTAATTTGGAAGAGACTTTTTGGTTTTTCTAGATATTGGACTTTCATGTACAGTTAAATTTTCAAGATAATTTTGGAGACTAACACGGAGTTCTATAATTTCATTTTTGCCAAGGTGAGTACAATGAAAAAATAAAAGTATCATTCATCACCACTATTGACAAAAAGGACATCTTAACACCAAAATAGGGAAGTCATAAAGACAGAAAAAAACGAAATTCAAATAAATTGGATAGATTTACCTTTATGAAAATGTCGCTCACTGCATGTTTATTTCTCTGAATGTGCCAGTGGCTGGTGGAAACTTTGTCATAGAGAAGCAACGTTCTGAGAAATCACAAATGAATATTTGGTCTCAGTCAACCACCTTCCACCAATATCTGGTGCTTGGATTCTATCACATTCCACCCAATGGCAGGGAGCCTCTGATGGCTCATTGGGAAAAGTTTGCTTTCTCTAGGTGTACTTTAATGACGGTCATCACCGGGCCCTTTGAAAGTCTTGTGGGGGCCTTTGGATCATACGTTTCTTTAGTGAGAGGGTACACTAGTTGCAGCAGGAGATTGCTTTGCACATTTACCTTTATAGCTTATGCCATACAATTTCTCTAAGTACCTATTTTGGATTTAAAATACAAGATGATTTTGTGATTTTTTAATCTCTCTAATCTGCCTGTCCCTTGATTCCCATCTAGGTAGTCTACATTGTGATCTCTAACAGGAAAACTGATAGATTTGAAATTACTGTTTATGTTGCTCTCTATACAGGCATAATCAAAAAATAATTTGTCTCTCATTCTCCTGAAGAGACAAAAATATATTTTTTAAAAAGTCTTAGAGTAGCTGTTGAGATGTATGCTAGCTTGATGAACTTGTGCTGAATATGGAAATGCTCTTCCAGGCTAAGGAAATCTCAGAGAAAATTATCACCTTAAAAAGGTAATTTAAAAATTGCAACACAGTTGAATTTCCTTAGGTATCACCGGTCTGGAGGTGCAAAGGGGAGTAACATCAACAGTTATAACTCACATTCCACTAACTTTTGCCCACACTGATTCACAAAAGATATCAGCCCCATTCCAAAACTTCACATTTGTATCTGGGAAGTCCCAGGATGTGTTTCAAAAGTGCCCAAACAATTCTGGGAAGCTTTCGTGTGGTTCCCCCAGCCATAGGTTTCTGCAGAGCCTGCCCCACCAATCAGCTGAGCCTCAGTGAAGGATACGCTGTAGGCTTGTGCTGAATTTCCTGCTGCGCATATGGGGAACATGGTCATTTCTGTATAATTGCAGCCCCAGCTCTGGATAACCAGCTTGTGCTCTTATTTTTAAGGCTGATTTTTGTTTTTAAAAAAACTTCTTTGGTTAGTAATGACATTAAACCTGTGAAGATTATATTTGAATCAAGCATTGGAATTCACTCATTCCTTCAGTAAATATTTATTAAGCACTAGTATGTGCCAGGCAGTATTCTACATGCCAGGGCTAAATGAGGAAGCAAACTAAGCCCCTGCCCTCATGGAGAGTAATAGTCACCAAATTAACATTGAGTTCATGGTGCCAGCTCATTTCTGCAAATATAACATCTTGCTTTCCATCTAGTTTTCTGAGAGTCTAATCTAAAGAATTGCTACCTTCAATAGCACAAATCACTTGAGGGGAAGAGGGGCCACTTATCTATTTTCTCTTATATACTTAAAGCAGCTGTGAAAAGAGGAGGCGAGTGTTGAGGGTAAAGATAAAGGGTGTTGCAGTCTTCTTGCTAGATTCCAGATTGAGTCTCTCACTCTGATTGATGCCATCCATTTATACTCCGTGCAACTCCCTTAAACCTTCCCCAGAAGTGACACTTTAGGACGCTACAGACTAATTTACTTTTTGATGCATTTTTTGGTATTTGGAAGCCCTCCAGTGGCCAAATACTATATCTGAAAAAAAAAATCCTTTTGCTATGCTGAAATATTTAGGTCTGAAGTATACTCATGTTTGTAATTTACTTTGAAATCCAAAAGATGGATTAATGTATGATAGAGGGATAACGATAGATGGTTAGAGATGCGATAAAGCAAATATAACAAAGATAATTGGAGAATTTAGGTGACAGGTTATAAGTATAATTAGGTCACTGGATAGGTCATAGTATAATTCTTTCATAGTATAATTCTTTTTGTGTTTGAATATTTATATAATAAAATGTTGAATAAAAATCTCTTTGCTAGACTCTGAAGATTTATACCTTTTAGTTCACATTATTGAGTTAAAATTTTGTGAAGACAATACTTAAATTACCTTTCAATAAAATTGTCTTCATTAATGGACATGGATTAATTTTTCTTAACATGATTAATTTTTAAATTCTTTTTTTTCTTTAATGGAGGTACTGCAGATTGAACCCAAGACCTTGTGCATGCTAAACATGCACTTTGCCACTGAGCTATACCGCCCCCCTAATATGGATTAATTTTTAAATATTTAAAAAGTACTTCTGGAGGAGGGGGAATTGGAGGAAGGTGGTCAAAAGGTACAAACTTTCCGTTATACAATAAGTACTGGGGATGTCATGTGCGACATGATTAGAACTAACACTGCTGTATGACATACAGGAAAGTTGTTAGGAGAGTAAATCCTAAGAGCTCTCATCACAAGTAGAGGACTTTTTTCTTTTTTGAGATGGTGGATATTAGTTGAACCTACTGTGGTAATCATTTCGCAGTATATGTAAATAAAGCCATCAAGCTGTATGCCTTAAACTTATACAGTGATGTATGTCAGATAGTTCCCAGTAAAACTAGGTGGGGAAAGCACTCTGTGTTTCTTTTTAGAAAGTTTATACAATGGGAATGTGAAATTGCTATACATTTTGTTTGTTTGTTTTAAAAAAGGCTTATTTTCCTAGTATATCTGTTTTACACGCTTAGACAATTGGTAACAAGTTAACTAAATTAACTTAAAAAATATCAGAGATCAACAGTTTGACAATTGCTGAAAATACTTTTTCTTAGAGGAGATGCATTGGTCAGGGTTCAAAGCAGAGATCAAAATCCACTCTTAAGTAAGTTAAGCCAAAAGAGATTTATTACGTGACCTATTACAAATGGTTGGCAGGGTTGAAGAAACAGCCTGTGGGCTGAGCTTCAGGAGTGACTCACAAATCCAGGCTATAGAACTGAGCCGTCAAAGGACTGCTTCTCAGGCCATGCTCGGGAGGCCACCCCTACAGCCACTGGTTCCACAGCCACATCTCCTTCACTATAATACACCCCATCAGGATGGTGCCTCATAACCTGACTCTCCTCCACTCAGTTCTGGATTCTTCACTATCCACAAGTGCCTCTGGTTCATGGAATTAAAATCACATCTGTAACTCTAGCTGCAAAGGAGTTTGAGAAGTGCATTTTAAGCCTTCCAGGCACTAAAGCCCAGGAAGGCATGTTAAGAGTAGGATGGCATTAGATGAAAAGCTGTTGGGAACTTTTTAATAAACAGATCAAGTTGACAGCACTCACTGATCAACATTACCATTGAGACTTCTAGACACTATGACCCTTCTTTCTGTTGTATAAAATAGATGGCAGTGCCTATGAAGTATTCTTGCCCAAATCATCAAACCTTAATGTGAGAAAGCTGCTAGATCCAACTACCAAGTTTACAAGAAGGGATAGAGGATGTTAACACCACCACAGGGTTGCAGTTAGCAAAAGCCAGTGTGGGAAACTTCGCAGGACAAAAGACACAGTTCAACAAATAAATGGCAAGGAAAAAAAGGAGGGAAACTTAAAATTGAGAAATTTAAGAGACAAATCAAGTAAATGTAGTGTGTGAATCTTGTATGGATCTTGATTCAAAAAAACCAGTTGTCAAAAACATTTCATGAGACTCTCAGGGAAATTTGAAGTGTACTTGGATAATTGATCATATTAGAGAATTATTCTTTATTTTTTTAGATGTGATAATAGTATTGTGGTTATGTCGACAATCACTTCAATCACTTTCACAATAAGGTCTTTACTTTTTCAGCTGGCTACACATTGTTTCATGATTAATTTAAATGTTTTTAATACTAAAAGAGAAAGTTTATTGTGCTAAGCATTTTATATATGTTAAATAATTTAAGCCTTGTAACAATCCTTTGATTAGAGGAAATTAAGGGAAACACTTGTTACAGCCTTTCTAGAAGTAGATAAAAACAAATGTCTGTTTTAAAGTGCACTTAGTATGTCTTTGAAGGAACAAGGAGGCTGACAGTCTTTCGGAAAGGAACACCATCAGCCATCTTAGCTAATTAATAGGTAAGGCAAATGATCAGATAATAAGTCCTTTCAAAAAAACAGATTTGTTAGATTCCATAAAGATTAGATTCAGTGTTCAAAATATTTTCAAATTGTTCCCTTGTCCCTGAATCTCTGAGAGGGCATGAAACTATTATCTCATTTTACTTTTTTTTTTTTTGAGGGGGGAGAGGTAATTAGATTTATTTATTTTATTTATTTTTAGAGGAGGTACCAGGGATTGAACCCAGAACCTCCTTTATGTTAAGCATGCACTCTACCACTTGAGCTATTCCCTCTTCTATTGTCTCATTTTAAAGGTGAGGAAAAACCCGACTCACTTCCAGCCAGGATGAGATTAAGGGTGAGAAGCACATTGAGGGTTTTGGTGTTATCAGGCACAGCCAAGGGGATGACGCCTGGACCATCAATGCTGCTAAAACTAGTTTGCTGTAGTCTTGAATTTGCAGGTCTCTGTTAGTGGGCTTGCACCATGCATCCTGAAATTTTGTTCTTGGAGGCAAAAAACCCCTTGTAGATGTAACAGTGGTTTGCACCTCTTCAAAGCTCAATTCTCCCCAACAAAATTTTATTCTTTAACTCTCTCACTAGGGGGAATTTAAATTTTCTCCTGTTGGGGGAGGGCAATAATAAAAAAAAAGTTTTAGGAACACTAGCTTAAGCCAAAATTGATGTCTTATGTAGAATAGAGTGATTTTTTAAAATTGCAATATAGTTGATATACAATGTTGTGTTAGTTTCTGGTGTACAGCATAGTGATTCAGTTATACATTTATATATATTCTCTTTCATTATAGGTTTTTGTAAGCTATTGAATATATTTCCCTGTGCCATACAGTAGGACCTTGTTGTTTATCAATTGTATATATAGTAGTTAGTATGTGCAAATCCCAAACTCGTAATTTAACCCTCTCCACCCCCTTTCCCCTTTGGTAACCATAAGTTTGTTTTCTATGTCTGTGAGTTTGTTTCTGTTTTGTAAATAAGTTCATCTGTGTCATTTTTTTAGATTCTACATGTAAGTGATATCATATGTTATTTGTCTTTCTCTGACTTACTTCACTTAGTATGATAATCTCTAGGTCCATCCATGTTGCTGCAAATGGAATTATTTCTTTTTATGGCTGAGTAGTATTCCATTGTACAAACACACACACACACACACACACACACACAACAACAACTTCTTTTTTGGGGGGAAGTAATTAGGTTTATTTATGTATTTTTCAATTTTTTTTAAGTGTAAGTAGTGGGGATTGAACCCAGGACCTTATGCATGCTAAGCACGTACTCTACCACTGAGCTCTACCCTCCCCCTTATACTACAACTTCTTTATCCAGTCATTTGTTGATGGATATTTAGGTTGCTTCTATGTCTTGGCTATTGTAAATAGTGCTTCTATGAACATTGGGGTGCATGTATCTTTTGGAATTAGAGTTTTCCCCAGATAAATGCCCAGGAGTGTTATTGTTGGATCATAAGGTAACTCTATTTTTAGTTTTTTAAGGTATCTCCATACTGTTTTCCATAATGGCTTCACCAAAAACATTCCTACCAACAGTGTAGGAGGGTTCCCTTTTTTCCATACCCTCTCCAGCATTTATCCTTTGTGGACTTTTTAATGATGGCCATTCTGACCAATAGGTGATACCCCATTGTAGTTTTGAATTGCATTTCTCTGATAATTAGCGATATTGAGCATCTTTTCGAGTGGATATTGGCCATCTTTAGAATACAGTGATTTTTAAAATCATGTCTTCACATTCTTGGAAATGGATATCATTACATTTTTTTTATTAAATTAATTTTAAAAGCAAATATTTTTTCTCAAGTATATATAGGTCCTTTTTTCCCCAGATTCCAAATGGCTTATGAAATCAAAATGCAGAATGATTCACCAAATGCCACTTTTTTCAAGGAAAATTGTCTTACCTAATAGAAAAATTAATTGATAAAGGAATGATAGCTCCCTCAAGGAACTGCAGTCCCATTTGACTTGGGCCATCTACCTATAGTGAACTTACTAACTAGTAAATGCTAGTTCCCACTAAACTTTATGCTTCATAAACAATCTAAAAACTGTTGGTAGGTAACTGTTTAGTTAACGTTCTCTACTTCTAGATCTTACCCCCTGTTCTTGCTTATATGAAATTGCTATCAAATTTTCTAACTTGAACTTAAGGAATCGCTATTCTTTACCCTGAAACTGCCCTGAGGCAATACAAGAAATGTCACCTCTGCTTGTCTCTAAAGTTTATGTAACAGGAACTGAGTCTGGAAAAGGTGCCCTCTTCACCCTGACTAAATGCCACCTCTAATCAAATGATACCATTACAACAAATGTGCACCTGAATCCATACTGTAAGCAGAAAATTGGGTTAGGCACTACTGTGGCAGATACATTTTATAAACAGCTAATTTAAAATTATGTGAAAAAAATTGCTTAGGATACTAGAGCTAAGGAGACTTGATAGAAGGAGCAATTGATTCTGCCAGAGGTCAAGAGGTTAGGATACTGAGAAGGAGGAAGTCTCTGTGGAAGGTAGTACTGGTGGGCTTTGAAAGGCATGTGACTCCACTTTTACATTTGAAGTAGATTCTGTGTAGGGGCAGGTGTTGAGTGGGACCAAATGAGCAAAGCACAGAGGAGAAAACTTCCAAGGTATATCTAGGGGCTGTTTTCCATAGCTGAAGTTTAGAATGGAGGGGCCAGTGGTGACAGATGAACCTGGAAAGATTGGAGCCACATAATGAATCTCAAATAACATGCAAAGGCCTCCATGCTCTAAGTTACTTCCCTGGGAAGAATTACTTAAAGGGAGCTGTTATTTGGATACATGATACCACCTAACTCCATTTCTGCCTCCTGCCCCTCATCCTTTATCCCCCAGAGAGACAGCAAAATTTCCCTGCATTGTAACCTTGGACAAGTTACTTAACCTCTCTCTGTACTGATTTCCTCATCTATAAGTGGAGATTAAAGATCGTGCCTATTCATTAAATGAGTCACAGCAATATATGGACCTGGTAAGCAACATATAAATGTTTGTTAGGTAAATAATGGATATAGTTCTGTCTAGCAAAATTCTCAAACAACTGTCCTGAGGCATAGAAGAAAAGAGAAGGATTTCAGATATGTTTAGATCTATGCTAATTTCCAACTATGGTTTTAAGACTTTTCACGTTACAAATTATTATGTACATCATTATAGCCTTAAAAAATGTAATTGCTAAAAAGACTACTAGTGTGCCCTTTTATTTTAGAGCTCACGTAAAGGCTTTTCCAGCCTAGAAGCTGCTTACAGAGTTTCATTAAGTAAGCGGGTACATTTCTAATTATTTCAGACTGGAAATTCCTTGGCTTTGTAGCTACAGCCTTTTCACATTTTCACTGTTCATTACCAACTATATGTTATGACAAGAAAGACCATGTAGGGCCATTTTATACACCTGTGAACAGTGGAAAAGTGATAGCAGATAGGAAGAAATCTACATTAAATATTCTGAGATTTAACTTATGCATTTTGTTCTCCATTTTTTTAACTATTTTAGTTATATATTGCTACATAATAAACTTTACTGTAAAACATAATAGCTTTAAAACAGTTTATTATCTCTCACAATCCTGGGCATTAGAAGGGCCACCTGAATGCTTCTCCGCATAGTGTTGGCTCGGACTAGCTCTCCATGTAGTCCCCCATCAGTCTCTCATTGCTCAGTGTGGTTTTGCCTGAGGTTCTTTACATGCCAGCAGCATCCCAAGAGGCTGAAGTAGCCTGGCCTCTTAGGGTCTAGACACAGAATAAGCCTAGAAACACATCTGCTGCATTTTATTGGTCAAGCAAGGCACAAAGCCAGCCCAGATACTGGAGTGGGAAAACAAAACAACACCTTGATGGGAGGATTTGATTATGGCCATGATTTCCAACCTACCACAGCAGCTGACCAAGATGACCATAAAATTAAAGTTGACCAAGTTGGTAAAATTCCAGATTCTAACTTCTCTCCCACACAATGTTTATCCCATTTTGCCCTAGAAATTATTGCAGGATAGGAAGTAAACAAATACCAAGGAAAAGCATGGAAATGGCCATCAGTTTTCAAGTTGTGTATTTTAAAGGCAATTAGTGAAATTTAACTTAAGTAACTAGACCCTTTGCCAGTCAGTTAACTAGCACACACGTTTCTGCCTACTAGAGTCTACACTCCTAGCTTCTCTGAAATCTAGAGGCATATAGTAGCGTCAGTAGTTAAGAGCAAGGATTTTGTCATGGGAATTAGGTTTAAATTCTGGCTTTGTTACTTTGTGTGGTTTTAAATTATCTAAAGTCTGTATTCTTCAGATTCATCCATAAAACAGGGATATCCATCTGGCAAAGTTTTTGTGAAAGTTAAGGAAGATAATGTGCTCAGAGATTAGCAGAGGTCCTGGCACATGGTAAGCATTCAGCAAGCTTAATTATTTTTATTAGATAGGCCTGAGTTTACATAAAGGTATACCAATGTGTTAAGGTTTGCATATGCCTCTTGCAAAGTGGGGCACTTGGCATTAGGAACTTCAAAACACGCTTAAACAGTGAAGCCACCCAAAAAAGCTGAGCCATGAGCTTTCTAAATTTTCTTATGTGTTTCCTGATTTTTTTTTTTTGACCTATGAATTTCCTCTCGGCTTGCTTTGCTGCCCCCTTCTGGTAGAATGGGGAAGAGCTCAATGATGTTCAAGCCCTACAGCCACTGAAACTGCTAAAAGCTCAGTATACTGAATCCAACTTTCAGAAATCTTTGGTCCTAAGTTCAAGTGAATTCACATGAAAGTCAAGTCTAAATGTAAATTTCAGTTTATTTCTGTTATATGAAAACTGATAGTGAGAGATGAAATAATTAATATTAAAACGGACAACTCACTTTAGGTTGAAAAGATGGCAAGAACACGTCTTTTAATGGCAACAATAATTTTACTATAAACTTTATTTTACCTTTCTGAAACAATGAAATGTGTACATATGAAATTTTAGCATAAGGTTTCCTAATGTTAATCTCAGCTAATCTGCATCTTTCAAATTATAATAGATATGTAGTATTCCTCAATTGGTATTTAAAATTGTTTGTATAGAAGCTGCATGAAATTGTTATTGTGTCCTCTCAAATACAATGAGAAATGCTAAATACTTAGATTTTATATTTAATTCTATAAGTAAATTTTAAAAATGCTTTCTCACATTTCAGTTTTAGAAAGTATTAGAAATATTCTAACAGATTTATATATAGATAAAACTAAAATTTAAAAACCACAGTACTTTAAAATATCAGACGTATTATACTTTTGTGTACTTGTTATAAGTAAACATAAGCCTACTACAAAATTTTTCAGTCAGAAAAACAAAATTTTAAGGAGAAATTTAGCACAATTTTTCTGTTTAATGTTTGGCTGTTTGGGTATAAATCTGTTCTAGCTAAAGAATATGTTCTTGCTGAAATGTTGGCAAGAGTTCTCAAGTCACAAATGCTGTTACATTAAATCATGATTACAGTACATAGGCTATGTTATTGCTAAAAACCAAAAAATGGCTGGAATCTTCGGAATTCCCTTCCGCCACTAATTCAACAAAGCCCAGATTTGTTGTAGTTTAGAACACAGAGACACATCTTCTTGAGCTACCCAAGCATAGCTGCTTTTCACTGGTTAAATTGTTCATGATCTAAATATTGGTTATTTGCACATCATAAAAGATTTGTGCACCTTAAGGAAAATAGCAGGAGAAACAGATTGCAGCAAATCTGTTAAGAAAATATAGTTTACATTCAAAATTAGAGCTACCTTTAGCATAATATGCAAGGGCTGCTTATTGAATGGATATGTGCCAAAATCTTTGTTAAAGTTTTTGCAATTTTCCATCTGCCAAAATTGAATATATGAGCTTCTGGCCTTTAAGAGCTATGTAACAAAGATCCAAAATTGGAGAATATAGTATTAAAAAACTGAAATTAATTCACATCTGATTATTTAGAAAGCTATTAACTGAATCTGAATTTTTGATATTTAAAATTAAAGTCACTAAAAGCAGGCAATTAGGAGATATCTGTGTAAGAAAAACAGCAAAAGTGTTTCCAAAACTAGCACAACAGTTCTTTAATTCAATTTAATCAAATATTTAGGGTTAAACTAAGAGCGACTTCATAGATTGCAACCAAGACTACCAAACATGGGGGGAAGGGTAGAGTACCTGCTTAGCATGCTTGAGGTACTGGGTTCAATCCCCACTATCTCCATTAAAAAAAAAATTAAATAAGCCTAATTACCTTACCCCCCCAAAATAGTCATTAAAGAAAGACTATCAAATACATACTTCAACAAAAATACTACAATCAGAACACATTTTAAGACTAAATATAAGTAAGATGTCATTCTTCACTTGGATTTATTTCAAAAGCTTCAGATTGTAAATTGGGTTATTTTTATTGCTCCCCTTCCACATTTAGGACAAAACTGTCTCTTAGTTTAATTATGTGCCCATCAATAGACGAATGGGTAAAGAAAATGTGGTGTGTACATATACTGTGAAATATTACTCAGCCATAAAAAAGAATGAAACCTTGCTGTTTGCAACAACATGGATGGAACTAGAGGGTATTATGCTAAGTGAAATACATCAGAGAAAAAACATAAACAGATTCATAGACAGTACAAACTGGTGGTTGCCAGAGGGAAAGGAGGTCGGGGGATGAGTGAAATAGGTGAGGGAGATTTAGAGGTACAAACTTCCAGTTATAAATGAGTCATGGGATGTAATGTACAGCACAGGGAATAAAGGCAATAATACTGTAATACCTTTGTATGGTTCAGATGGTAACTAGACTTATCATGGTGATAATTTTGTAATAGATAAAAATATTGGGTCACTGTGTTGTATATCTGAAATGAATGTAGTATTATAAGTCAATTATACCTCAATTAAAAGTAACACAGGCAATGGCATTAAAATCTTTTTTAAACAATAAAATTAAAAAAGTTAACATCCATAGTTTCAACTATTTAAAGCAGTCCCAGGGGTTTAGGACATAGTTATGTAATTTTGCTCAGGCAAAAAAATCTTAATCACATGTCCTATGAGGCTGTTATCTGTGAGGAAGTCACTTAGCTAATGACTGAGCCTGGCTCAGCACTGACATATAACTGTGGCTTTACTGCTCTCTATTTATCAATATACAGAGAAAATGTTCGTAAACTGAGAAATACTATACTGAAAATACTATTTGTGAAAAATTGCTTCCAGAAGAAAGGTAATTAAGTGTTAGGAAGGAAAAGGAAAGATTAAAGGTCGTTGTAGCACTAGCTACAAGGTAGTGGTTTTGGATAAAGTGGCAGGATGAATTTGGCAATGGCTTATCTGAGATACAAAAGAGCTTGTGATATGCTTTCATTGAAAAATAAAAATAACTTTGAGTGTTCTATGCAGTATAAAATTAATCAATGGGACAAAGCTAAAGGTGAAAAAAGCAGAATTTAAAAAATTATAAAGATAGGCAATAGAATAGGAAGCAAAAAAAAAATCTAGTAATTGACTCAAAGATCAATGGATACCTAACTTATGACAGGACTATATATCTAATGGGGAAAGGACATTAAATGGTGATTCGTTAAAGGAAAAAGAAATCTACCTTATACTCTACACACAGACAAAAATAATTCTGCAACTTTAGATAGAACAAAAATAATATAACAAGACATCAATAAAATATAAGCTCCTAGAAAAACTGTAGAATATCTTTGTGATGTTGGGGTGGGCAAAAATTTCTAAAAGAGGATACCAAAAAGGAGTAATTATTTTTAAAAAATTATAAATTGGATTTAGTTAAAATTAGCAACTTGTTTGTCAAAAAAAAAAAAACCCAAAATCAGAGTGAAAGGCAAACCCACAAGGATTAAAATGCAGAATATATAAATAATTCCAACATATCAATGAGAAAAACAAAACTAAATAGAAAAACAGGTGCAAGGTTGCCAGATGACAGGATACATGCACACTCTGCTTTAGCCAAAACTGCCGAACAGTATTTACTTAAGACTTGAACAGGTCGTTCACAAAAGAGAATATCCACTTGGTCCTAAACACATAAGAATGACCTCAACCTCATTAGTGAGGAGAGAAATATATTTTCAGATCATAATGCAGTACTACTACATACTCATTAGAATGGATAAAATGAAAACTGATGGCACTACCAAGCGTTAGCAAGGATATGTAACAGTCAGAACCACCACTTTGGAAAACCGGCAATTATCTACAAAGCTGAATATATATGCATAGTCTATGATCCAAAAATTCCACTCCTGGATACATACCCAACAGATTTATGTATACAGGTGCACCAAAACACATTAAACCATGTTTGTAGCAACAGAATTTGTATTTTTCTCAAGTCAGAAACAATCCAAATGTCTTAGTAGCAGAATGGACAAATTGTGGTATATTCATACAACACAA